GGCAGTTGGAGATGATTAGTGGAGAATCCTGAAAGGTGGATATTCATCTAAGTACTATTGGACCACGGGGTGGAGAAGGAGGGGGTCGAGGATGGTGAAGAGGTATTATTTACTATCAAACCAACCAACCAACCAACCATATCTGTCTCTACCTCCCTCATACACAATAAGATGTCTGACAGTGAGCAAGGCTCTTGACCTCTCTAGACCTTAGAGGCAAAGTGAGAATTGTCCTCCAGCTAGAAAATGTCACAAAGTAAACATTTGCTTTAGGTTTTCTTTCCCAAACACTCCATACTCCTTATGTAGGAGAAAAAGTCGTTACTACATTCCTATGGTCTTATTTTAATTTTAAATCCTTGGGTAAAGAAGTACCTTTATAAACCAAATTTTCATCTTAATCTTTGCTGCTTCTGCCTCCTACTCCAAATTAAATTAAAAATAAATACTATTGGCCGGGCGCCGTGGCTCACGCCCTTAATCCCAGCACTTTGGGAGGCCGAGACTGGGCAGATCACAAGGTCAAGAGATTGAGACCATCCTGGCCAACATGGTGAAACCCTGTGTCCACTAAAAATACAAAAATTAGCCGGATGTGGTGGCAAGTGCCTGTGGTCCCAGCTACTTGGGAGGCTGAGGCGGAAGAATCACTTGAGCCCAAGAGGTGGAGGTTGCAGTGAGCCGAGATTGTGCCACTGCATCTCCAGCCTGGCAACAGAGCAAGACTCTGTCTCAAAAAAAAAAAAAAAAAAAAGAAAAATTCTATTAAACTGCAGGAGACAGTTGTGTCATGCTTAAGTGCTTGGGCTCTCAGCTAGATTTTTGGGTTCCACTTAAATTAGGCAAGCCACTGAATTGTTCAGTGCCTCCGTTCCTTCGTAAGAATAATGATACCTGTCTCACAGGATGGGTAGGAAGATGAAATAATACATTCAGCACAGGGCCTGGCCATAGTCAATGCTGAATAATTGTTATTTTAAAACTATTTCCATTTCTCCATCTTTAATATATGTATATGTATATATGTGTGTGTGTGTGTGTGTGTGTGTATATATTATAATCATATAACCTCAGACACAGGGTTTCACAGCTAGAATGAATTTCTTTCTTTCTTTCTTTTTTTTTTTTTTTGAGACAGAGTTTTGCTTTTGTTACCCAGGCTGGAGTGCAATGGCGTGATCTCGGCTCACCGCAACCTCCACCTCCTGGGTTCAGGCAGTTCTTCTGCCTCAGCCTCCCGAGTAGCTGGGACTACAGGCACGCACCACCATGCCCAACTAATTTTTGTATTTTTAGTAGAGACGGGGTTTCAACATGTTGACCAGGATGGTCTCGATCTCTTGACCTCTTGATCCACCTGCCTCAGCCTCCCAAAGTGCTGGGATTACAGGCGTGAGCCACCGCGCCCGGCCGCTAGAATGAATTTCTAGACTAAGTACAAAATTCTTGTTACATCTGTGTCCTTTCTGTCAGATTGAGAGGGTTGGTGTGATTTGGTGAGTGACAGAAAGGATACTTAATGAGATTCCTGGCTTGGGGCTGCATCATTTTTACTTTTCCTCCATTTACTTTTATCTTATTTAAATAACTTCCTACAGAACAATTTCCTTTAAATATGAAAGGTTCCATAGGTTTTTGGTTCTCAGTAAATTATGATATCACAATAATGTGGATTCTTTTCCTGATTGCTGATCTCTTCATAAATTAGGAAGTGTATTTACTTAAAGCAGTCTATTTGCTGCTGAAAACCCAGTGACTTCTAAGTAGGCAGTCAGAAACTCTTAACACTCGACCTTTAAAATGTTCAGATATCGACATCACAAATATATTATCTAATATGAGAACCCCTGAGCAAGGGCTCAAGCTCTAGTTTATGTTCCATCCCTGACTCACAGTAAGATCTTGGGCAAGTCACTTGACCTTCTTATATGTCAAACTGTGAAAAGCATGTCCATAAAACTGTGCAAGCATGACCTCATTATAAACCCGATGGACTTGAAAACCAAGATGGGCTTTGATACATTAAAGAATTACCAAAAGATAGCCGGGCACGGTGGTTCAAGCCTGTAATCCCAGCACTTTGGGAGGCTGAGGCAGGTGGATCACGAGGTCGAGAGATCGAGACCATCCTGGTCAACATGGTGAAAACCCGTCTCTACTAAAAATACAAAACATTAGCCGGGCATGGTGGTGTGTGCCTGTAATCCCAGCTACTCAGGAGGCTGAGGCAGGAGAATTGCCTGAATCCAGGAGGCAGAGGTTGCGGTGAGCCGAGATCGTGCCATTGCACTCCAGCCTGGGTAACAAGAGCGAAACTCTGTCTCAAAAAAAAAAAAAAAAAAAGAATTACCATTACCAAAGAGAACTCTAGCTTGTAAAAAATGAAGAATCAGAAAAATGAATTTTATTATAGGAAGTAAAAGGATTCTGAAATGCACAGTTTTTAGCAAGTAAAGTCATAAAAAAGTTTCAACATGTTATATTTGGGTGAAATGAGGTTAATGACAGAGGAAAAACATTATTTTAGAGAATGCTTGGCTTTCAAAACCATAGACTGTAGCAACTTAACCAAAATAATTACAAGGATTGGAAGACTATCAGAAACAAGTAGATCCTGAATAATTAAACACATTTCATTTCTGGGCCATTATTTTCCCCTACTTACACAATACATACCATGTTTTAAAAGTATTTCCCCGGCTGGGCGCAGTGGCTCACACCTGTAATCCCAGCACTTTGGGAGACTGCAGCAGGTGGATCACTTGAAGTCAGGAGTTCAAGACCAGCCTGGCCAACATGGCAAAACCCCGTCTCAACTAAAAATACAAAAATTAGCGGGACATGGTGGCAGGTGCCTGTAACCTGTAATCCCAGCTACTCAGGAGGCTGAGGCAGGAGAATTGCTTGAATCCATGAGGCGAAGGTTGCCGTGAGCCAAGATCAGGCCATTGCACTCCAGCCTGGGCAGCAGAGTGAGGTTCTGTCTCAAGAAAAAAAAAAATTGTATTTCGCTACCTACCATATGAAAAGCCCCACAGAAAGAGTATCAATACCCTTGGGAAAGCATCAGTTTTTTTTTTTTGAGACGGAGTTTCGCTCTTGTTACCCAGGCTGGAGTGCAATGGCGCGATCTCGGCTCACCACAACCTCCACCTCCTGGGTTCAGGCAATTCTCCTGCCTCAGCCTCCTGAGTAGCTGGGATTATAGGCACGCACCACCATGCCCAGCTAATTTTTTGTATTTTTAGTAGAGACGGGGTTTCACCATGTTGACCAGGTTGGTCTCAATCTCTCGACCTCATGATCCACCCGCCTCGGCCTCCCAAAGTGCTGGGATTACAGGCTTGAGCCACCGCGCCCGGCCTAGAATCAGTTTTAATAATGAGTTTGGCCATTTAGGCTTGTAACTGACTGGATTATTGAATATTCTTTAAAATTTTTGCAGGGATTGGATTAGGTTTGTGAGGTGAATAGTGTCTTTCTAATATGCAGAGGGAAGGCAGCACCATCCCCTGGCCTGCTGCTGCAGCCTTTCTCTAAATTAAACAGCAGGTTCACTCTGCGGGATTCCAGAGGGAACATCAGTAGGAACAGCTCCACAGATGCTGGTGTCTTTTCTGAGGTTATCCCAAGAAGTCCTGTGGCATTTGCAATGTGCCTGTATTTCCCCTTCTTTTAAAACATCTTCCTGCAGATTTTGTCGAAACCAGAAACAAACATAACCAAGCAAAGCCCTTTCTAGCAGATCATGTTAATCACACACTTTGCCATATTCTGTGAAAGAGTAAGCAAATGATAACCTCCAACTGTTGCCTGAGCCCTGTAAACAAAAGATCAAATTCTGTGTTCTGCCTTGGCAAGAAAAGAAACTGTAGCATTTTGTCAAGATTTTTACAAGTCCTGGGTTTCACATTACTGGCTGAAATTGTTCTTTTACTACCTTCCAGAAAAATGGAACCACTAGTAAACTTAAAGATTTAAATATTCTTTTAAAAGAAATATGTTTAAAAAAAATGGAAAACATTAGTACATTTAAATATTCTTTAAAAATGAATATAATCAAGATTGTAGTTTAAAATACAATCTAGCTCCATAATAGAGGCAATTGGCTATGTTATTCCACTTGTAATCTAGGGGATTTGAAACATCTATTTTTTCCCTTCTTTGTTTCTGTGGATTTATGAATAAAGACTCTGACCCCTCTCAGGATCAGAAAAATTACCAAAAATTTAAAGCCCGAGTTTTAAGGTCTGTAGAAACTGCACAGGTACACTAATTTTATTAAGACGGGCGCCAGGATGAATAGTATTCTCCACAGGAAAAAGGGAACAAAATAGTAGGAGAGAAGTAGTCAGGCATCCTAAAAAATATTCAATGGAAACGTAAAACATTAAAGACTGATTTAGCATAGCAGCATGACACAGATTTAGCAACTGGACATATGTAATTTGGCTCGGATATTGCTCCAAAATCAGAACACGGGACCAATTTCGTCCACGAGGACAACTACCTCGTCCTCTGCAGACTCCCTTCTCTGCCGCTGAAGGAGTGCGGCCGATTCCTCTGCCTCAACCTCTCCGCGGACCCCCTAGTCCCAGGACCTCCCGCAGCGCCGCAAACCTAAAGTGGCTGCTGCAGACTCAAGGACGAGGGGCACGCGGAAGCCGGCAACCCCAGTGGAGCGGTTGGAAACGTTGAGGTGGGAGAGTCACCCAGGTGGGGTGAGGCCGGGGTGGGTAGGGGGGCGAAGGGTTCCAAAGCTCTGGGTCGCCCCAGAGTTGGACTAGGCAGGCGCTCTGTCTTCGCCCCGGCTCGGGATGGGCGTCACCTGAGAACTCCCCGCCACACCTGCCCCGAGACCGCGCGCCCAGCCCAAAACGCTCCCAGTGGCCGACCCCGCGCAGGGCCGCCGCGACGGGCGCGCAGGGGGCGGCGGAAGACCGGGCGGACCGGGGGCGGGGCCAGGCGGGCAAGGCCCGGCTGCCGCAGCTCCACTCTGCGCGAGGCGGCTCCGCCGCGGCGGAGGGATACGACGCGCCATATATATACCGGGGAGCAGGCTCGCGCTCCGGCAGTGCTGTTGCGAGTCTCGTGGACGCGGCGCCGTTACTTGCAGTCAGGCGGCGGCGCAGGCGGCGGCGGCGGCGGCACAGCGCTCAGCGCGCCTTAGCAGCGGCAGCGGTAGCACCGGAGGCACCCCGGCCGTCACAGCCCCCGCGCTGGTGCAGCCACCCTCGCTCCCTCTGCTCTTGCTCCCTTCGCTCGCACCATGGTAGGTCGGGAGTGGCAAATGCCGGCGTAGCAGCTGCCCAAGATTTCTTCTCAGATCTGTTTTGTTTTTTGTTTGTTTTTGGTTTGGGGGAGGTAGTTCTCTTTCGAGTGTTACGCAGCCGCTGCGTTTAAAGGAGGATGCATTTTGGATTTGCATCTCGGCGACCTCTGCCAGGGAGCTTCATTTATTGGTTCCCCTTGGAGCTGGACTTGGCTGTGGGCCGTCCACCGGCAGGGGCTCCAGCCACAACTGCAGCGGGGCTTTCCGCATCCACCTACCCCACCCCCACCCCCACCGCCACCCCCACCCCCCTCCCGGCCCCGCACCCACTGCATCCAGCAGCGCCGCACCCGGGCTGCCTGCAGCGAAGCGTTTCGGCCCGGGAGCCGGGCGGGGCCGGGCACTAGACTTCCCCCCCGCCCCGCCCCACCCTGCTTCTCCCCCGGCGCGAAGGTGGCACATCGGGCGGGCCGCGGAGAATGAATGGGCTAGAGCGGGCCGGTGGCGCACATTGCTCTAGCCGAGTGTTGGGGGCACAGTCAACGCCCGCCACCTCCCCACCTTGGCCGGCCCTGCTGGGCGCTCTTCCCTCCTTCCTCCCGGGGGGCGCGGCGCGGGCGTGGGCTGGGAAGGAAGGAACCGGGAAGGGTGGGGTTGGGGGGCAGGAAGGCGAGGGGTTGGGGGCGGAGAGGGCGGAAGCGGCTGCCGGGCCGCCCTTCGCCCGGGCGGGGCCCTGCGGTGTGGCCGCGGCTCGTGCCTGCCGCTTTCGCACCCCTGCGGCCCCCCACCCGGTGCGGCAGTGCAGGCGGGCGTGAACTTCGGTGCACCAGGAGGCCCTTCCCGCGGGAGGCGCCCGGCTCATGCTAATTGGGGCGGGGGGGCGGGGGAGGAGGGAGCTGGCGCGCGGCTCGGTTTCCATTAGAGACGCAAAGTTTCTGCCCCGGGAGGAGGCGGTGGCGCGGCGGGCTCGCCGCCTGGGGGAGCAAAAGCGGGTGGGAGGTGCGGGTCGGCCTTGGCCGCGGCCCTGGAGCGCGGGGGCTGGGGCTGGGGACCCTTCAGGCCGAGGAGCGGCGGCGTCCGGACGCCCGCCTGGGGGCCGCCTTGCACTCCTCCTGCCTTCGGGTACGCGCCCTGCCCATACCCTGGTTGCTCGTTCCTCCTGCCCCTTGCCACTTCCAGGACGCAGAGAGATGCCCTCCACATTTCCGCTTTCTCTGCAGCCTCTAGATTGCCAGATGCGACTGTGCGCCTCGCTGGGTGTTTTCCACAGCCCCTTCCTCCCGAGGCGGACAGGGCTGACATCACCGACTGCATTTCTGGTTTGGCGGGTGGAGAGATGGTTCCCCGCAGGGTTCTGTAGGGCTTTTGCTCACAGGGCTAGCGCCATTTGGGGGAGGAGGATTTCGTTGTCTAGAAACTTCATGCTCCTGGTAACCCCTCTACTAACAGAGTTTTGTAGCGAGGTGGGGCTGTTTTCCCCTTAAGGTGACAGTTTCTCTTGCGAGGTGTGGCAGCGCTTTCTGTTGTGCAAGACAGATGTTGCCCTGATGTTACATAAATCATCGTGTCTCCCTCCTTTAAAGAAAGCCAATTTTTAGTGAGTGGGGTAGAAAGGAAAACCCATTTGTAATTTGTAAAAAACAAGTTTTTGCTCAAATTCAATGTATTGGAACACCGTTCCTACTGTTAAAGTTTCCACTTAAGAGAATAAACTTCATCAGCTTTCTATTAGGACTTATTTTGTAACTGGCTTCTTAGGTATCCTTCATTAAAATGGAAATACATATTAGCTGCCCTTGAAGTTTCGAATTCCGTCGACTGGAAGCACAGGTTCAGTGTGGTAGAGACCAAATAATACAAGTGAGAATTACCTTCGTTGCCATTACTCAAATGAAGTGTGTTTATTAAGAGCAGTTCTTACGTCATTCTTAAGGTAGGTAGGGTTAATACTCTCCAGCAAATTTAATGGATACTCTTTGCCAGAAAAGAGAGAAGTATGTTTATAGTCTGGTAATTGTTGTATAGTTTTCTGTGTACTTAATTTTTGCAGTTTTGTAACACTGTAAGATGGTACCAGTTTTTCCTGGCTTCTGAATCATAGGATAATTTGACCTAGGGCATTATCGGTTGTAATGGTAGGCTTTTAACAAATAACTGCCTAATTTAAAGGATTGGAAAGCATTTGTTACATGGAAATGAAGTTGGTGGGGTACCTGGTTGCTGTGTATTTTTTTCTACTTAATTATTATTTCTCATAAAATGGATATAAAAGCCTGTTAATCCAACCCAATGCCATTATGTAACGCTAGTTTGGAGATTTTGAGGGCCTGGAGCAGTGTGCAAGGTGTGCTAAAAGCCTGCCCCTGGATGAGATCCTGATCCTGGCTGTGGTGGCAGTGGCAGTGGGCTGGGTCCCTTGTTGGTGGAAGGGGGGGGACTGTGGTGTCCATGATGCAGTAGGTGGCGCTCTTCTGTCTTAGAGTCTGCTGCCACTGCAGCTGGTGCTGTGGGGCCTTTTGCCACTAGAGGTGCCATTTTTCACATTGTGAACTTAGCCTAGTTAGATCGCAGAGCAAACTCTAAGCCACAGGCCCAGAAAAGAAAATTTAGAAGTGAGCAGATGTTGTCGCTTCCTTGTAATCCTTTGTTAAAATAGTGTAGAGGGTTCCCTTTATTCTAATTACTTTGGTTAAGTGACAGTGCTACAGGTTTCAAAATTTTTTTAAGAGTGATTTTTGAAAGAACAATATTAAAAATGTAGCTGGAAAACCTATGTTGATCTCAAGCAAACTACTGTGGACTGAATGATAACTTTTTCTTTCTTCATGTAGGCTGATCAGCTGACCGAAGAACAGATTGCTGGTAAGTTAACAACTCCAGGGAGTCCCCAGAAGGCCAGAACTAGGCACTGACTCAGTTTTGGTGACTCCTCTGTTCCTCCCCCCTACAGTCTGGGCAGTTTTCTAGGAATTTATTTAAAGAAGAACAGTAAGAAGAAACATTTAGGTCAGGTGTTATTCCTGCCAGTACTTTATAGATGAGGTGAAAGGAAGTAAAACTAAGGATGGCCACTTGTTAAACTCTGGAGAATTTGACCATGTTCCACAGCGTGCAAAGTTTGCGTATGATTAAATTGTACTGAGCCTGCTACTCAACAGTTTAGTTTACAATTCTTATGCCCCGGGTCTTTTAGTAATCTGCCATGAAAGCTTGTGCTTGCTATCCTAAAATAAATGAAAATGAGTGTTGGGACCACTGTAATAATTGGGAAGAAAGTTATATTAAACTGTGTTGCCCAGGCTGGACTCAAACTCCTGGGCTCAAGCAGTCCTGCCTCAGCCTCCCAAGTAGCTGGGACCATAGGCGTGTGCCACTACGTCTGGCAGATTTTAGCTTTTTATTCCCTGAAGGACTTGTTTTGAGACTGTGTCTCTTTAGGAAACCAGAAATGCCTCTGAAATATCCTAAAAGTCATGTAGAGAGAAACAGACTGGTTACCTGGGAATGTCCATTTCTAGTAATCATTTCATGTTGCTATGAAACAAGGGATTTTTATGGCTTTAGAAATGTAACAGGAAGGGACTTGAAGGAGGCACATGGACCAGTCTTATCAGATTGAATTTCATTGCATGAACCCATGAGGCAGGGGGTTGCAGTGAGCCGAGATTGCACCACTGCACTCCAGCCTGGGGGACAGAGCGAGATTCTCATGCCAAAAGAAAAAAAAAACAGATTGGATTTAGGACCAATTTAAGCATGTTCCAGCTTAGCTGCCTTTAAACATGGGAATACTGTGGTTTACTGGGAGCAGTGTTTGCTTTGTGGGCTGCTGTGTGAAGGCCAGTCCAATAGGACTGTTGTGGTCTTTATTTCAGTAGATAAAAACCAGACAGCTTCTGACACCTTGCACAACTTGAATGGCTTGCTTTGGCAAGTTCCCGCAAGTGTGTATTGTGACTGGGTTGGATAAAGACACTCGTTTTAAAGGGTCAACTTTTGTTTTTCAGAATTCAAAGAAGCTTTCTCCCTATTCGATAAAGATGGCGATGGCACCATCACAACAAAGGAACTTGGAACTGTCATGAGGTCATTGGGTCAGAACCCAACGGAAGCTGAGTTGCAGGATATGATCAACGAAGTGGATGCTGATGGTAAGGGCTTTAGAATCATGAATAAGGGCCATTGTTGTGTAATTCAAGTTTGGACATGTTAGAGGATTGTCTGGTTCAGGTCCCCAGAGCAAAGCAAAGGTGCAAAGATCCTTTCTGTGGTTGCCTTAGGGCCATTGACAATTAAAATGGAAGATTATGGGCCTTGCGTCTGCCCTGCTTACTGTCTAGAACGTTTCCTGCATGGGGATCACTGTGTTGTTTTTTTCTGCTTGCTGTGACCTAGAGCTCAATTTTTTTTTTTTTTTTTTTTTTTTTTTTTTTTTTTTTTTGAGAGGGAGTCTCACTCTGTCACCCAGGCTGAAGTGCAATAGCACGATCCCAACTCAACTGCAACCTCTGCCTCCTGGGTTCAAGTGATTCTCCTGCCTCAGCCTTCTTAAGTAGCTGGGACTACAGGCTCATGCCACCACGCCTGGCTAATTTTTTTGTCTTTAGTAGAGACGGGGTTTTCACCATGTTGCCCAGGCTGGTCTCAAACTCTTGACCTTATGATGTGCCCGCCTTGCCCTCCCAAGGTGCTGGGATTACAGACATGAGCCACTGTTCCAGGCTGAGTTCACATCTTTTATCAACTGGCCCATGAGTCTGCACTGAGTCTTGAGAGGGAGGTAAAATTAAAGAGCCGTCGAATGTGCTTTTTAACAAGCTTACTGTGTCTAAAAGAGGAGGAGGAGGAACTGCCGAATGAAGTGGGTGATGAGCACTCTTAGATGTTACCATAGAAGTGAGTACAGTGTGAGCTGTAGATGTGTTTGCTGCAGAGGAGCATGTGAGGTTCGGAGGTGGGGTGTGTGGTGACTGGGGGATAGATCTGCAGAACCTAAGAGAAGGGGAAGCTGTAAGGTGCAGGGGTAGATGGCACCAGCAGTAACCCTGTCCATTGCTCTTGACTCTACAGCAGTGGACAACAGGCCTTTTATTGCTGATTTATCATCAGTAAGCAGTCTTTGAAGCATACTTTCCCTGCCCTAAAAAAAAAAAAGGGTATTTTTGTATCATATATATAAATACACACACACACAAAACACACACAAGTAACATTATAGAACATGCTTTTTAAAAGATGAGTTGGGGAGAGAGAAGGGAAAAAGAAAAAAAGATGAGTTAAGAATAAACAATTTGGATCTAGATTTTACTTTCTAGATGATTGACTTGAAGGTGGTAGAGTAGAATAATGCTTGTCTGGTCACAGACATTTGGATGAAGGGCTTTTGGTTAAGTTCTTTGACAAAGCTTTCAGCCCATTAGAGTGGTTTTCACTAATAGTGTTCCAGAAAGAAAAGATTGTCCATAGTTCTGTCTAGTTCGACTGCTAAGATGATCAGCTATCCGGGAACATGGAGTAGCTTCCTCTTGTTTTGTGGGAGCCCTGGGAGTCTGTGCCTGGGGAGGGGAGAAGTCTGTTAGGCTCTTGGATTGTGTGGAAGAAGAAGCTGTGCCAGGCTGTGGAATCCCGTGTTTGCACTGAGAAAATAGGATGGTACCTGACCTCTGCATGGCTGTGAGATAGCTTTAGATAATTTCTTTTGTCTTCAATGAATACAAACAATATCAAAATTTTTGAGACCAAAAAGTCTTAAAGGGATCCCTGAGTTATTTTCTTTTAAAGGTACTGGTGAAAGTTAGTAACTTAACATAGGGTTTTTCTTCCTAATTTTATTTCCATTGAGTTCAAGTTACACTTTTAGTCTGGAGTGCTTGTCTTTAGGGGTATTTATCTCTTCGTTTTAAAGAGGAGTTGTTTGGAGTACTGGCCATAGAACAGATTCTTCTGACAGTTCTCTAAGTGTTACTGCTCTGAGCTGTGAGAAGGCTTCTGAGCTTTTCCCTTAATGGGAAATGAAGATACTGAGTTGGAAGAAAACAAGTTAGGTGACTTACCATCATAGTGTGGCCAAGAAATGATCCTGGAGAAGATATGGCCCATGGCATAACAAAATCAATATTCCTCTCTCATAATCTTTTCTCCCCTAAAACGTTTTATATTCTTAACCTGCAGCTCAATTCTAGGCCTTCTTTCCATTACTACTGTCACTAGCTAAGGCAGAGTTAGACCTGAGCGATTTCCCTGAGTCAAGGATGGCAGTTGGGGGTGCTTTCTTCCCTTGGGAGTAGAAAGGTTCAGCCTGTGGTGTTGTGTGCTGTTTTTCTCTCGAATGTACTGCCCTTCATGACCCTTCCGTGGGCTCGAATCCAGATGTGCCTTTGCCTTTGTATAATTAGATGCTATCCTGGGTACCGATGACGAGTTTGAAATTATGTGAAATTGCCCCGTGAAGTATTTGAACATTTTAGACCTGCAGATGACTGAACCTAGTAAGAGAGTTTGCCACTTCATCCCAGCACGTGTTTATCATTCTGTATGGTGGTTCTGAAATGATGACTGCAGGGCAGCATTAATGGAGTGCTTACTTTACATGAGTTTTTGTTTTTTAATTTGAGGTAATGGCACCATTGACTTCCCTGAATTTTTGACTATGATGGCTAGAAAAATGAAAGATACAGATAGTGAAGAAGAAATCCGTGAGGCATTCCGAGTCTTTGACAAGGTAATCCAGCATCTACATAGCAGATGGTACTTGCTATGGCTTTTTCTGCTGTCACTTCTAAAAGCTCTAACAATGTTAGACGCGGAAGACTTAGTCTACTGCCTGAGCCTCTGATCTCACTTCCGAAAATCCTTTTTATGGTAACCGTATCAAGTGAGGGTAGACATAATAGGAATTTTGGACCATGTTTCTTGACTGTTACTTTGAATTATTGTGAGCTTTTGAAAATCCTGTTTTTGCATTAACTGTTTGCATGTATTTAGTAGGTTAGAGGTGGGAACTAGAGATCAGAGGATTGTTGATGGGAGCAGAGTCAGCAGTAACGTGAGAGGGCATAACTAAGTCAAAAACCTGCTGGCCCACACCACGTCAGTAGCAGTAACAATTGCCGAATGTTCACAGGATGGCAATGGTTACATCAGTGCAGCAGAACTACGTCACGTCATGACAAACTTAGGAGAAAAGCTAACAGATGAAGAAGTAGATGAAATGATCAGAGAAGCAGATATTGATGGAGATGGACAAGTCAACTATGAAGGTAAAACTAAGTTCTTTGAGCTCAGTTTTTCATGGTTTTACCTTTAGGATCTGTAAACAAGCTAACTTCTTCACTAGACAGTCTTCAACCTTATTTATTTTTTTTAATTTTGTTTTATTGTATTTTAGGTTTGGGGGTACATGTGAAGAACATGCAACCTTATTTTATGCACAGTAGAGATGTTGTGTTCATTAGAGCCTCTTTCAAAGATAACCAAAAGTTACCATTATATTTGTCTTTTCAGAATTCGTACAGATGATGACTGCAAAATGAAGACCTACTTTCAACTCCTTTTTCCCCCCTCTAGAAGAATCAAATTGAATCTTTTACTTACCTCTTGCAAAAAAAAGAAAAAAGAAAAAAGTTCATTTATTCATTCTGTTTCTATATAGCAAAACCGAATGTCAAAAGTACCTTCTGTCCACACACACAAAATCTGCATGTATTGGTTGGTGGTCCTGTCCCCTAACGATCAAGCTACACGTCAGTTTTACAACATAAATACTTGTACTACCTTAATGATAAGGACTCCTTAAAGTTCCATTTGCTAATGATTAATACACTGTTTGGGCTGGCCAGTTTTTCATGCATGCAGCTTGACGATTGAGCACAGTCAGGCATTTGTATTAAAAACGAAAAATGAAAAAACAAATTCAAAACCTGTTCAAATGGGTTCTAGTTCAATTTGTTTAGCATAAATTGTCATAGCTGGTTTACTGAAAACGAACACGTTTAAAATTGGTTTACCTCAGGATGACGTGCAGAAAAATGGGTGAAGGATAAACCGTTCAGACATGGCCCCACTGGGTAGGATGGTCCTCTTGTACTGCGTGTGCTCCGACCCGTGGTGACAGTGACACACCCTGGTACCACACCCGCGTATGTTGGTTTAGTGTTGGCTGCATTGTTCCAGAGTGAAACAGGTGTCAGGCTGTCACTGTTCACACAAATTTTTAATAAGAAACTTTTACCAAGGGAGCATCTTTGGACTCTCTGTTTTTAAAACCTCCTGAACCATGACTTGGAGCCGGCAGAGTAGGCTGTGGCTGTAGACTTCAGCACAACCATCAACATTGCTGTTCAAAGAAATTACAATTTACATCCATTCCAAGTTGTAAATGCTGGTCTTTTTTTTTTTTTTTTTTTTTTTTTCCCAATAAAAAGACCATTAACTTAAAGTGGTGTTAAATGCTTTGTAAAGCTGAGATCTAAATGGGGACAAGGCAGGTGGAGGGGAGGCCAGTGTACATTTAAATGCCCACAGCTCAGCATTGGGTTTCCCTCCCAAGGTCCCAGCACCAACCTCTGAGCCCAAGACCTTTCCTAAAAAAAAAAAAAAAAAAAAGCGGATACCAATTGCTTCATCCTATTTATGGACATGTAGGTCTATTTGCATTTTCATTGGGGGGGAGGGGGGAAGGTGTGAATTACGGTAACTTTTAATGATCTATTCAGGCAGTAGAGCTCTTAAGGAAAAAACAAACCCACTTTCTCTCAAGCATGTATTTAGGGGTTGTTCTCAATTGTGCTGCTGATTACCTGTCTTATGTAACTACTTGAGACCATCTGTGCAAGAGACATGATTTAGTGTGTCTGTAATTCAATCCTCTGCTGTGTGTGGTAGAAGCAGTAGTCACTTTTCTAAGCCAGTCTCTTCATGCCTAAAAGACACTACCAGTCACCTTTGATTCACCACTTTTAATTTATGATTATACTTAACCTTAGCCTGCTTTTACTTTTTCTTTTTTCCCCCAAGTTGACTTTACTTTCTCTCCCTACAAGTAGAACTAATGCTAGCTTCCAGCTTGAAAGTAAAACTCCAGTCTGGAGTGAATTTTGTGTCTAACTATAAACCTGTAACCAAAACTCAGACATCTGGTACTGGTCTTTGCGTTGAGATTGGTCCCTGTAAAAAGCCCCCTTCAAAGCATATTGCATTTAGTACAGAGCTCTTTTTTGAAATGAAGGCTGGAGATGTGCATTTTTCATGATGTTAACTGGTTGTATCTTATTAGCAAGGAGATTGGGGTTTTGAGTGTTTGTGTGGGTGTTTTCAATTTGCCAGGGAACAGTGGCAGGCTGCTAGCAAGGCAGTGAGAAGCTCTTGGCAGCCAAATGGGTGCATTCAGGGCTGATTTATAGAGACCCTTGGCTTCTCCTTCTCCTACTCCCTGTCTTTCTGGCATTTTGTAGCTTGTTAGATTTTCTGCCAGAGGGGTAGGTCAGAGCAGTGGAGAGGAGACATCGCCCACGTGCTTCTGCTGCTGGTCTTTGGGCTGGGTGGTTGGGAGAAGAGAGGTTGACACTATGAGCTAAGGGTTGGCTTTTATAATTCCCTGAATCTGAAAGGAATGCCCAAGGGTATCTTGGGGTTTCTCTTCTGGTGAGATAGAGTTCCTGGTTTGAGTAAGTTAATGTCCTGGATATTTCTTGTGGTGGGGGGTGGTCAAAGAGCCTGATTGCTGACCCAGTCTCAGGCCTGTGGTCAGTGACCTCTTGGTATTTTCAAAGGGGGCTGGAGGGGGTGATCTGACTTGTTTTTTTGAGAGGTAGCCTAACCCTCAAGGCTTTTTAGAAGCTAGGTGGACTCTTAGTGGTCCTGTAGCCTATCCTATCCTAAAAGACTACCTTTGAAACAGGATTCTTGTATGGCCAGGATCCTGTCTGGGAAGCAGAAACCCTACCCCAGCCCCCTCCAGGGCATGCTGAGTTCCAGTTTTGAGCAGAAGTGAGGCAGAATCCACTGTAGCCTTCCCCGCTGGCATTTAGGGAGATGACCAACCCAAACCTTGGGTGTTAGTCTGCATGAGTTTGCAAGAGGAGATAGCTGGGTGTCGTGGCGGTGCCCTTGAAGTTGGTTAGCACCTTCCTGTAAACTCTTGCCCCTACATCTAACTCCTCTATAAATATATACATATATTTATATATAAAGTGATTAGTTGAACTGGCATCCCGCTTTAGCCTGAGACTTGCCATAAGAAACTGCTGAGTACTTGGCAAACCCTTTCATAGTTTTGTTCTCCATCTGTTTGGGGTGGGTGTTGAGCCAGGCAAATGGATCTCGATCTTTCAGATGGGCTTTTGATGCACTGTTGCCAAGGAAGGCTTTTTCTGATTTTTTGACAAATGAATTTTTGCACACTTTCATTGGTGTCTTTCGGCAACTTACACACATTGAAAATGAGCTATTGTACATATTTTTATATTCTCTTTATAAATGCATGTCTGATTGTACTTGTAACAATATTGTAATGAACGGCTGTGCAGTAGGCCTAGCGCTGCTGTGTCTCATCAGAGGAAAAGCGTACTATGAACCCCTCAGCATACTGGGAACCTCTTCCTGAACAAAGAATGTAAATTTGGTCAAGTCTACTCTTCCGTTCATTCAATTATTTTAAACATTTGAATTATTTATTGTATATCCTAAATATATTTATCCTCTGGCAGTGACTAGATTTCCACTAATGTGTCTTAATCTATCCCTCCAGCTGGCAGTTACTGTTTTTTTATCCCTTGAAGTTGTCCTGTAGGAGACAGAAATTCTTTGCTGTCTGTATCCCTTGGAGTAAGAAGGTAGTGGCATGGGTGGAGTGTGTGTTCTTTCTCCAAATCTATTATGATGTTAATTAAATACTTCTGTAGCAAAGATGGTTGTAGTTCTTTTGTTACCGAAGTTGCCCTTCACCATGGCGATTTGAAAAGGGGATGTACTTGAACGTTTCTGTAAATCTTGAGAGAAACTGTTTGGAGATTTAACCACCTCTCTGATGGGGGACCAACTATGGAAATTGTAAATAAGTTTTATTTATAAACCTGGCACTGTATTCAATAAACATTTCTGCAGCCTTTCATCTCTAACTGCGAACTGTGTAGGTTTTTAGCTCGTATAGCTTTCAATTCCTTTTGCTCTCAAGATGGACCTGCCTCAGATGTGATTTCACCTGGGCTCTCGTACTGTGAGCGTGAGGGGCCAGAAATACAGACACATTCCACAACAGCCTTGCCTTACTCGAGTTTTAAGTAGGTTGTTAGCTGACATTTTTAACCTGTTCTCAGCCTATTTGTCCATGCTTGGGTTTTATGCAGAAAATTTACACTATAAAGATTATTTTCCTTTTAACTCCAAGTCTCTTGAGGACTTGCATAAAGCAGTGTATTTTTTTTTTTTTCCAGTAAGATGGGAATTTTAGATGACAAGTACATACTTCGTTCATGTCAAGAGCAGGACAGCGGAGGGAAGCGGGGTGGGGTGCAGCTCCAGTTTATGACCTCATCAAAGCCTTCCCCTAGTTAACACTGGCTCAGACCCTCTTTAGCAGGAGAGGTCGCCTGCTTCTGCCCCCTTTGCTTCCAGAAGGGTCTTTTCCAGGCTGCCTCGTGTGTTTCCTTTCCCACTCTGCGCAGGAGTGAGAGGGCTGAAAAGGGAGGAAGGATAAGCTCCTGCTTTGGACACAAGGCTCAAGACACATCTCCAGGAAACATTTAAACAGCCACTCCTGCACACACGGGAGCTGGGACTACAAGGACGTGGACCTAACCGTGGAGAGAGCTCTCTGCTCTGAGGTTTTAGACCCGGCTTCTAGCTTTAGTTCTGTTCCTCCAGCCTTAGGCAGGTTCCTTACCTTCTCCAGGCCGTGGTTTCCTCCTTGGTAAGGTAGTACCAGACTGGGTATCTTCTGCCTGTGGCTTTCTAAGGATTATGACCGACCTGGTTTGGCATCGCTTAGTGTTTAGATGGATGAAATTGCAGCCTAAAGAATGGGAGGCAAAGTTGTGTAGGAGGGCTGTGTCCTTTGAGATGACAATGGGATTTTGAAATTCTAAGCAGCTTCATGTTGGGGGTGGAGGGGAGGTTAAGCTTGCTATTAAGACTGTGGTGTAATATTGGAACCTGGGTCAGAGAAACTGATTCGTAAGTGACTTCCATTCTCCCAGGACGGAAATAGGAAGCTACCACTTGGCCTGTAAGGGATTCAGTCCAAGTGACATCATCTGGTGTTTCAGCAGCTCCGGTTTAGAAAAACACACATTTCCGATTCGAGCTGAACTTTCCCGGGCACTTTGGGGCTGGAGCACCCAATGACTCAGGATGCCTTAGAAGGAAATAAAACATAAAGCTTTTTATAGCTTGGTACTTCTCTCCCACTGCCCTCAACTCTCTGCCAAGGAGTGGGAGGAGTTAGCTCATGGACCAGAACTCCCATTAAAGCCCCTGAACTCTGGTTAAAGCAAGTGGCAGCTTTCCTTACGAGAATTACTTTGTGTCAGCAACCTTAGGAATGAGTGTGAATTGACAGATTTTGTGTGTGTGTGTGTGTGTGTGTGTGTGTGTTTGAGATGGGATCTCATTCTCAGGCTGGAGTGCAGTGGCACAATCACAGCTCACTGCAGACTCAACCTCCCAGGCTCAAGCAATCCTCCCACCTGAGCCTCCCCAGTAGCTGGGACTACAGGCATGTGCTACTGTGCTCAGCTAATTTTTAAAAATTTTTTATGCAGATGCAGTCTTACTGTGTTGCCCAGATTGGTCTCAAACCTGGGCTAAACGAATCCTCCCACCTTGGCCTCCCAATGTGTTGGGATTACAGGTGTGAGCCACCGTGCCTGGCTCAGATAATCTTTCTTTTTTGAGACAGAGTCTCACTCTGTCACCCAGGCTGGA